TAATGGTTATTTTATTAGGAAGGAGGAAATAAAGGAAGAAATGAAAAAAAAATAGAAAATATATGTACAATATATATTTATTAAAATATATATAATTTACATATAATTTTAATTACATATTTATAAAACTATAATATTACATATTATACAATTATATTGTATTTATATTAACATTATATTATATAATTTTACAATATATAATACATTACATTATATATATATTGAAAGAATTTCGCATTACACGTTGTCGTGAGGCTTCCTTCAATAAATGCTGTTGATGAATCTTGTTTGTTGAGGATGATGTTGCCGGTCGATCTTATTCTCCCAATGGTTGAATTTATTCTCTTGTTGCTTGTTCTGTTTAATTGTATCGTAGTAGCATCTTTAATTGGTCTTTTTGGGAAATGAATCAAGAAATACATTGATGGTTATATCCTCTTCGCAATGCCGAATATTCTTACTGGAATAGATGGGATAATCTATGGAATGAAACCCGCGAGATCCTGAGGTCGTCTTCGAGATAAAAACTGTAATCAAAAAAATTATTACAAATTATTTTTGAATTATACTTTAGAATTCCTGATTTATAATCATTTGTAGAAAACGAGAAATCTTGGGTCATCATTAAAAATTAAAAATTTTCAAAATAGTTTTATATGTTCATGTTATAAATCAATCCTCACGTTCGTTAAAGTTCCAAGACTTGAAACATGCTGTTGTCTCGCAACAATATATTATTTATTAATTCTATAATATATATGACTAATGTAATATCTTTTGCTGAAATCGCAAAAATTTTCTATTTCAAATCTTATCTTGTAATCAGAATGAATTATATTTCCTGATTATTTTTGTTATATAAAAAAAAAATGTCAAAATATGTATGCAATAGCTTAAAGAAAATATCTGAATAAATGTTTGTCTAAAATTCATAATTTTTATTGGATTTTATTCTTGACTTGGAACTTGATATAAACTTAAGTTTGAACATGTGAATTATACATAATATATTCGGATTAGACGTGGCAGCAGCTAGTTTATGTGTAAGAAGCTATATGACTCCGATACCGGCAATACCGTAGGTAACTGCAGCGCAATGGATCATGAAGTATAGACAAGTTTAGATAAGATTATTTTGAGTACGTTAAAGTCTTAATTATTTTCAACAATACGTTGGAGTGTGGTTCAGTGAACGGCTGCTAACATGTCTGGCTTTGATGAAAATCCTTTTGGGGAACCGAATATCAATGATCCATTTTCGGTAAGTATTTATATAGCGGCTAGATCCAAAGAATATATTGCATCTTGTTCAATATTGCATGTAAAATTGCAAATGGAAATAGACGTGTGTAATTTAATCATTATTATTATTTTTTCCGATGATTATAAGTAAAGATTTTCATTATACCTTGAAATTAGTATATTAATTCCTTAATATTTGTAAATTTTGTGTAAGTTTTTTTCATATATGTGTTTTTATTTATGTTAAGGATGATTTTTAATATTTTTTGAATGTAAAAAATTTCTTTTATTAATTTTGTAAATAGAACAATGTTGCATCAATTTTATATTGAAAGAGATATGTCAATAAATGAGTTTCTTGAATATTAATTCTATATATAGATGTCTTCTATAAATATATATTCTTTAAATATAGTATACCTAATTTTCTTTGTGAGATTGATTGTAATATAATAGAAATGATTTTTTTTTAATTAGGATCCTGCAATAAGAAGGGCTGTATCTTCTACTCCAGCTAACAGAGGATTAGAAGATTACAATCCTTTTGCAGAACAAGGTTCACAAGGGACAGCACAAGTTAGAGGTGCTTCAAATCCTCCAATCTATGGCGGTCTTGGAGCAACACAGCAACCAGCTACACTTCAGCCTTCGAACCAAGAACCTCCAGCAACTAATTATGCCCGTACTCCACAACAAACAGTGAATACAGCACTTGGCAGCACAATATCCCCAACTTCAGATGTAAATATTCATATGTAACATATTTCATAATATTTTATGTTGGATTTTAATGCTATAATATATTCTTTTTGAACAATTATTGTATTTTAGCAAAGATCAGAGTCAGAATGGAAAACAAGAACAGAGGAAGATATGAGGAATACACCATATTATCGTAAGCACAATAAACAAAGAAGATATATGTAAAGTAATATCATATAGATATATGATATTACTTTCATTATTAAATAACAATTAAAAATGGTTAATTGTTGTAGCAAAAAGAAATAACTGGCCTCCTTTACCTGATAAATGCTGCTTTCAACCTTGCTTCTATCAAGATATTGATGTAGAAATTCATACAGATTTTCAGAAAGTAGTCAGACAGCTATATCGTCTATGGATGTGTAAGTTGAATGTATTTTAATTAATTTTAATGCTTAAAATATAGTTTTATTGTAACTATATAATATAATATATAATTTTCCTATATTAAGTTTCCCATAATCATTTTAAATTGCAGTTCATGGTTGTGTTTTAATACTTAATATTATCGGTGGATTCATCTTACTTTTATGTAATGGAGGATTTTCAACATTTGGTCTTGGAATATTATATCTGATATTATTTACACCATTTTCATTTTTATGCTGGTTTAGACCAGCATACAAAGCTTTCAAGTATGTACTAAACATCAATATTTCAAAATTTGTATAATTATTAAATAATTTTTTTTCTTTCAGAAATGATAGCTCTTTTAACTTCATGGTATTTTTCTTTGTCTTCTTCTTTCAATTAATCGTCACAGCAATTCAAGCTATAGGCATTCCTGGCTCAGGAACTTGGTAATATTTTATTTTTTGAAACACAAATTTATGCTTTTTTCAATCATATTTTAATTTTTCTATTTTTCTATGATTACAGCGGCATTATAGTTGCTTTCACGATGTTTGATAACACAGCTAAAGGAATATTTGTTGGGTTTTTACTACTCCTTATTGCCCTTTGTTTTGTTCTCGCTGCGTTTGGTGATCTGTTATTATTAACCAAGGTATAATGTAAAATTTTTGTAATTTTTAAAAATAAATTTTTTATAAATAATAAGCAATCAAAAAAAAAAATATATATATATACATATTTTTCAGATTCATCGCATATATCGTTCGTCGGATGCAAGCGTTTCGAAAGCACAACAAGAATTCGCGACGACTTTCTTACGCAATGAACATGTACAAAATGCAGCAAGTAGTGTTGCTGCCAATGCTGTACGCGCCCAAATGGCTAACGCTGCTAATCAACCACGCTATTAAAGTGATTTCGTCACAATCCAGGATTTATTCTTCAGGTATTCTGACGTTTTACCGCTCAGTAAATCGCTGATAGATCATGTTAGTTTCAGTACATCTAATGTGCATAATGGAACTCGAAATTATAATGTTCCATAGAAAATTCTATTCTTGCATTAAAAAAAATTATAGTATTTTACTCAGGCGTAGAAATGATTTTTTCTCTTGGTGCATTTAAAGTTGTATTTGTGCATGATTTTTATGAGAAAAAATTATTATCATTTTTCAGCAAATTTATTATTCACGAATTTAATTCTAACAGATGTTTAACGATTTATTGTTATCTATTTCTTTTTAACAGTATTTTAAATCTGATTAACACACACAGTATTGTGTACGTATGTCTTTGTATTATCTAACACACAGCGTGTATATCATTTTTCGTTTGTATTAATTAAAAATGAATCACAAAATAATTTACCATATAATAGAGAAACAAACTATCAATAATCATATCACTAATTCTTATATTATTGCTTCTATATTATACATCAATATATTTGCTAGCTTTTATATTTTAGTGGCATCCTTAATCATGATGTTGTAATCATGTATGGCTTTATATAAACGGAAAATATTCGGTTTTGTTAAAAATCAAAATAACTTAATAATACGTAGAAATATTGTGTCCACGAATTTAATTTTTTATTGTTTTATAAAATGTTAATTTAATTATTAATTGTATGGAAATCGGGCATCTTTTTGCCTGTCTTAATAACGTCCTATACATTCCTTACAACGTGTAATATATGGCCTTTCTTTATTAAATACTTGTTACTTAGGTCCTTAAAATATTCTATCACTTTGTAAA